GGGGGGGGGGGGGGGGTGCGAGGACGCAGACAGGAAGTCTGAAAAGAGGAGGCATCTGAATGCTGTGTGTGTCGCGCTGAAGTGTGGGTAATTAGGAGGGGGACTGCAGAGCGCTGATTGGGGAGCAGCGACAGGGCGGGTTGTTGTGTTATTTTGGAGCACGCTGTGTTAACGGCAGATGTGTTAGACATTGCGTGGGTGTCTGTGTGTGTGTGTGTTGAAACAGAGAAGTGAAGGTAGAGGGAGCGAGCCATGTNGGAAGGTGTCAAAGCCGTTTGGAGAGAAGAACAAAGAAAAAAAGACTAATCAATTATTAAATTAGTCATTGACTATTTTAATAATTGATTAATCGTTGACTAATCGTGGTAGCCGCAATTGGAATGCTGGAAATGTAAACTTTTGTGTATTTACTGTTGGATCGAGGCACATTTTAAATATAAATTTGTTGATTCTCTAACTGATTAAAGTAAATGACTACAACCGATCACAAAGTCTAAGATAAAAGGCTGTATCTAAAATTCAGGTTGTCAGTCAAAAAATATCCAACAACTCTATTATATTAACTTAAAATGGTTATCATTTATAGTAATAATTTCTGAGACTATTTACTGGTTATCATTCATTCAAACCAGGTGCGCCAAAGCAGAGAACCATGCCAGATAGTGGTCCTCGAGAACCAGGATGGGACACCACTGCTGTAATGCTTTTATTTAAGCTTGTTTGCTACCTGTCCTGTGGCTTCAAACCATCAGCAGCCCATCCACGCCCCTTCTCTATGTGTCTTCCAATAATCTTTTGTGACTGGCTGCCAGTGACCCCCCATGACCTCCAGCTGAGTGCCATGACAACGGGGCACTGACAACTGTCGGCACAGATATTGGCTTCTTCTATCTCCTGAGCCTCTCTCCTGGGCAGGAAACCACCCACGCAGTTCGGTCAGACACTGCAGGAAGTGGAGAGGAGGAGGGGGACAGAGGGATGTTTGTCTCTCTGCCTGTTTGTCAGTCTGTCCGCTGTTCTGAACCAGAGGTTATCAAGCAAAGAAGGGCGCCGGGGGGGGGG